AGGTCAAAAAGGGACGGGGAAAGGGGGTCTCCCTGTCTAAGACCTCTAGACGAGGGGAAAAAATCGGTGGGGCTACCATTAACCAGGACTGAGAACGTGCAATGCTCCACACACGCCTCAACAAAGCTGATCCATCGCTCAGGGAATCCCATCTTAGCCAGTGCCTCCCTAAGAAACGGTCACTCCACCCTATCATATGCCTTAGCCATGTCTAGTTTCAGCGCAATGTTCGGTGCCCGCTTCCAGTCTGCATGGGAGATATCGTGGATCATCCCCTGAGCCAAAAGTATGTTATCACTAATGACCCGATCCTTGACGAATCCACTTTGGTTCGGAGAGATAAGGTAGGGGAGAATAGGGGAAAGATGGCCGTTAAGAATTTTGGAAATAAGCTTGTTGGTCACGTTACACAGGCTGATGGGCCTGTAGTCGGACCAAGAGCTCGGGTTGGGTCTTTTAGGAATCAAGACGACAGAGGTAGCCATGAAGGAATCCGGCATCCGGTGACTGATGAAGAAATCCAACACTGCCTCCTCAACATCAGGCTCGACTATATCCCAGCAGACCTGATAGAAGTGGGAAGAGAATCCATCAGGGCCAGAAATGTTGTTGGGATCAATCCCGAATACAGCATCCCTAACCTCCTCCCTGCTCGGGATCTCACAGAGGTCGACAAGGTTGACCGAGGGAGGGATGGTAGGGAAGAAAGAGGTTGTCGGGGCAACGAGTGACCCCCTATCAGAGGTGAAAAGGGTCTGGAAGTGAGCAACAGCCGACTCCCGAATCTGAGACTCCTGGGTCAGGGATGACCCATCAGCCTCAATACTATGGATGTACGACTTAGCACGCTTCTGTCTAACGAAGCCCTGGAAGAATCTAGTATTCCGTTCGCCCTCTGCCACCCAGCGAATGACAGCCTTCTGCTTCCAGAAATCCTCCTCCATAAGGAGTCGGAGCTGGTACTCGGCATGGCAGCGGTGCATTGCAGTCCTATTCTTCGGAGTAGGATCCAGATCATAGACCCGCTCAGCCTCCGCGTGCGCGCTCTGTGCCGCAGAAAGGCGCTGATGGAGGTTTCCAAAAACATCCCAGTTCCACTGTCTCAACCTA